TCAAGGAACCTTCTGCAAAACTGCACTGATTTGTAAGCTTTGTTTGCTTATAAAACTTATTAACATAATAAAACCCTTCCAAGAAATAACTAAATCAAATATAAATCCCTTGTTTGATAAACTGCAGTACAACTTGTGTTCTTGTTAAAAGTAGAAAAAAAAATAATTAAAAATAATTATATAACATAGAAAATCTTTTTCATTAGAACTATATAAATATACTGTTAGAATAATAAAATTAATTTTTCATAAAATTAATAATTTTTTTAGACTGTTTAAAATTGCGGTTCCAGCTGGTATATTTTTTCTAACACTAACCATCGCAATAGATTCTATATTTTGGAAACGATTATTATGGCCTGAAGGTGAAGTATTTTACTTCAATACTATACTTAATAAAAGCAGTGAATGGGGTGTATCCTTTGTCAAAATCATTTTTAAATTTATTTAAAATAATGAATTTAAAATATATTTATTGTACTTAATATAAAAATAGACATCACCATTCCTATGGTATTTTTATTCAGCTCTTCCACGTGGATTGGCTTTTTCTTATTTTTTGATACCTTTAGGAATGCTATGGGATGCTCGAGTTCGAACATTAACAATTCCTGGTATTGCATTTGTTGCATTATTCTCATTTTTACCTCACAAAGAATTGAGATTTATCATATATGTTTTTCCATTATTAAATGTCAGTGCTGCAGTTGTTTGCCATAGAATGTAAGTAAATTATATTTAATTCTACTTTTTAAATTATTTTTAATTTTTAAATATTTAAGATTAAGATTATATTTTTCTTTTTTTCTTAAATTAGATGGGAAAACAGAGCAAAAAGTCCATGGAATGGGTTTTTGGCATTAATCATTTTAAGTCACTTAATTTTAAATGCCTTATTTTCTATGTTTCTTTTGTGTATTGCTGGTTCTAATTATCCTGGTGGTTTAGCAATTGCTAAATTACATAGACTTGAAAAAGATTCTCTCAATCCAGTGCATGTACATATTGATGTTCTCACTGCACAAACAGGAGTTTCAAGATTTACACAAACAAATAGTTCTTGGATGTAAGTTTTATAAATAACTATTTAAAATAAAAATTATTAATCTATCTAGAATAAAAATATACTTTAAATATATTTTTTTATTTAGTCAAAAATAATGCAATTTAATTTATCATTAACTATCTTTCTAGTTATTCAAAACAAGAAAATTTAACTATTGGCAGTCCAGAAATGCTTCAATTTACACATCTTTTAATGGAAGCTAAAAGTAAATATTCACCCAATATAAAACCATATCTTAAAACACATGATATTTTGGATTCTGTAGATGGTTTTTCTCATATAGCATTAAATTATAATATGTTACCACCAATAAAAATAAAAACTAGACCAATTATATTTATTATGAAAAGAAAATCATATATACAATATAATCCCAAAAAAACAATTTATTTAAAACAATCAACTGAAAATTCTACAGAAATAAGTGTAGAAAATGAAAAAATAAATGATACTGTAAAGGATGTGGAACCAATATTGGATGAAATAATGGAATCATTAGAGCAATTTGAAAAACCATTAAATATTAAAGATATAAATATATTAGATTCAGAAATACAAGAAATCAAATTAAATAATACAATAAACGATTCTATCGAATTCACTAAATCATTAAATATAAAAAAAACATTTAATAATTTATCTGAAAATAATTTATCACAATTAGAAACATCAAATAATAAAAAAAAATCTGAGATTGCACTAAATTTAGAAAAAAATATTGGAACTGAGAATAATATTAACTTACAGTCTCATATTAAAAAAGATAATATTAAAGAAAAAGAAAAATTAGATATAAAGAAAGAAGAAAAATTAGATATAAAGAAAGATGAAAAAGAAAAATCAGAAATAGAAGAACTAAAATTTAATATACAAAATAACAGTACAACTCTAAAAGAAGTTGTCAAAAAAATTATTCAAGAAAAAGTGGAAGCAGTTAAATTTAAAAAAGATACAATAGAAGAAAAATCAGAAATTTCACAGAAAATTAATGCTAAAATAAAAAGAGTTCCAATAAAGATAGAATCATCACAAAAAATAAAAATGACAAAACAAGATTTAAAAGAAAAATTATTAGAAGTTCAAGAATTAAAAGAAAAACCAACAATAATTCAAGAAATCAAAGAAAAACCTATAGAAGTTCAAGAAGCAACAATTGAACATAAATCAGTTAATATAAAAGAAAGCATTAGAAATATAATTAATCAATTTAAGGAATTTGAAAAAGATTTTATATATGAAGATTTGGAAATGGATAAAAATGAATTAAATATTGAATATAATAAACAATCTATAGAAATAAATACAAAAGCAGCAAAAGACTTACCAAATATAGATATTGTGATAGAAGATAAAGATACAAAAAGAATCAAAGATGTCAAAGAAAGTTTAAGGGATATAATATATCAATTTAAACAAATAAAAAATGAATTAACTTCAGAAGAAGATGATCAATTTGAAAAAATTGAAGCCACATATATGGAACGACCAATTGCAGAAACATTAATGCAGTTTAGTGAAGCATTAAAAAATTTAGTGCAACATAGAAAAAAAAATAAAATATACAATGTAAACATTCTTGAACATAAAAATGATATATCTAAAATACAAATGTTATCGAAAATACCTTTAGAAAATCAAATTCCATCCCAATTTTCAAAGAATTCAAAAAATTATAATAATGAAGAAAATATACATACTATAGAAAAAGTTATTCAAAATATTAATGAAAAAGAAAATTCAAATCAAGATACAAATAAAGTTTTACAAGAAAAATATCTTACCTCATATAATAATAACAAAAATATCTTATTAAATGCTCAAAAATCTAATAGTATCTCAAATAATGTAGAAAATAATGCTTCCAATGAAAAGAATAAAATAATACAAAAAAATATTGGAAATAACTCAAACAATTAAATATCAAAATATTAATTCATATTTTTATGTTTTTAATACAGTTATATAATTATAATATGTAAATATGTTATTCTGTGATAACAAAAATGTATATCTTTAATGCTCATGCATTACCAACACGGAAAAATGAATTTTATTTTTTAGTGTTATTTTTTAAAATATCAAAAAATATTAAAAAATGACAAAACATTTTTTTTTTTTTTATATAATATAAAAGTGCCAATTTTATATGTATACTTGTGTAAAAGGACAAATTGAAATAGTGGAATTATGTATTAAATATTAATTTAATGTGTAATAATTATTTCACATATTATAAAAATGTCTTAATAATTTTTTATATGTTTAGATGTTGAAATATTTATCTAGATATTATTTATATAAAATTAATATTTATCAATGCATGTTTTTAAAAAAACAATTTTATTATTCATCCATGATTATTTAAATTTTAATAAACTGTTTTATGATAATTTCTTAATATCTTTTTTTGCATTTATATTCTGCTTTCTTATGTTTTGTTTGTTTTTTTCTAAATTATAACATTTTTGTTTTATATATTATTGTTTTATATTTATATTTTTTTATTTGATTTATATTTTCATCACACACAAAAACTTTATACACTTATACACTTTATACACTATTATAAAAAAAATATACATTTATTTCCATATTGGTATTTGCAGAGCATCAAGTGCCTTAAAATTTCTTCATAATTTTACATATCATAAGATATATATATATATATATATATATATATATATATA